CAAACTTTTCTGATTTTTTAATAAAACTAAAACTATTTAAATCTAAAAGAGTATTGAACTTTGTTTTTTCTCAGACGCAGTATTGGTTTTTTACTACAAAACCGTGTGAATTGTCTTGTAATAACGTACATCATTACATGTTTCATTTTCTCTCTTGGAACTACTACTATGTTATCTATAATGAATTATATGTTTTCTCTTCCGTTTCAATCGGAAATACTGCGATGAATATAGGCTAGATTCTTTGAAGTTCTAAACTGATGCTATTTATCTATTAAATCCTTGAAAAATGATCCATCCTCTTCATTTTTGGTTAGGTGATAGGTTGGATTTCATTTCATAAAACAATTCAGAATGATCTTTCATGTCTGGACTGATGTTCCAATTGATAAAATTCATATCTAGAGTTTGTTTGGGAAAGGATAAATTTTACAAAAAATTACTAACATTTTTTGTTCATTTTTCGTATTATATGTAGCTCTTCTGATTGGCTCCTATTGAGCCAGCAGAACTATTTTGAATTTCCATATTAATTACTTCATTCCAGGATGTTTCATTCTTCATCTAACGCAGAAAACGAAAACATATTTTGCCCCCTATACAGCTGTGCCGTTAAGCTGGCAGAACCAAATCGAAATTCTTTTATTTTTGGATAATTTGAACTCGCTCTTTGTTTGAATTGAATATTTTTGTGACTGACTACCTCAGACACACGCGATAAAAGCGAAAATAAATTTTCGAAAACAGTGTGGGGGCGCAGGAGTGTCAGACACACCTGAAGAATCTATTGTATAGAGAAACACGTGTTGCGTTTTTGTAAAACTGTTTGTGAAAAGCTCACAATAAAGTGTTTCTTGATTAAATGTTTGTATGAGTAAAGAAATGTATCACTAAGAACCATCTGAAAAAGCTATTCTATAGCGAAACACGTGTTTTGTTTTTATATAACTGTTTAATGAAAATCTCATAAGTATCGGCCGATTTCATCACATATATTGTAATCCTGTGTAATATTTTACTTTCCCTCTTCATCGCTAAATATTGAATAAAAAAATTATCAACTTCCGTATGCCATTTCCTCTACACCACACTGGCTGAAGATATTGTCTTTCTGACAACTTCGTGAAATATAGTTTCGATGAAGGATGTCGGAATTTCCCAAGAGTCGTTTTCGGATGAGCTTTCTCGGAGCTCCAGTTTAATTGGTAGACGAAGAGGGAAAAGTTTGTTTAATATAGTTTAATATGGCACGAATTACGTTGATATGGCCTATTCGTAACTTATTGTGAAAGTTCCGAAATACGCACGTTACCAAACATAATATATTCAAGAACTTAATGGCGTATTCTCTTCGAAAATTGGATTGAACGGAAGCAGAAAATTATCCCACGTTCTGGTGAAGTTAGTGACAGAATATCTTACAAAATGGAAATATTTCGGGTAGAAGGTAGGATAGTTCGTTGCATGATTGATATGACTACTAGCAGAAGATGAATGTACCCATTAAATTCAAAATGGATGCATAGGCCACTGTAAATAATTTTCAAAAGACAGAAATCAATTACTGCATACATAAGTTATTGAAAAAATAATGTGCTTAGTATGGTAAAATAAATTAAAGTGTCATTTGATTGAAGGTGATTGCCAATGTTTCTTGCTAAATTTCATTATTTCGAACTTCCATTGTCTAATATTATATAAAATGATTTGAAATCTCTGAACAAACCAATAAAGAAGGAAAATTAAAAAAAGAATAGCTGTCTTCTTTCAATTTTTCATTTGTATTGGCTCTTTCAGGGATTTTAAATCATTTCATATATATTACATAATGGAAGTCTGAACTAATGAAATTCAAACTGAAATATAGTCGATGTACGAGGAAAAACTAAGTGAATTTTATGGATGGAAAATGTTTCCACTGAAAGAGGACTCCTATTGAAAAAAGTTGATTACGAAAGTTGTAGATAACTACCTGAAAATTTTCGTGAGAAATCGGAAAAATAGATTTTTTCGTTTTTGTTTTTTCTTACAAAATTCACTTGTTATTCACGATATTTGATGGAGACTTCTGTTTTCGTATCTCTTAAAAACTGTATTTTGTAATTCATATAGGCTTATCAAAATATCATTGTGCTAGAACAGTTTTGTTAATAATCAGCAGTATTCTGTGTGAAAAAAATTTCTAGGAAATGTAAAAGTTTTTTTGTATTCTATGATACATTTTTTCAAAGTACTGTTTTTATTCGTTTTAGATGTTCTAGATGTTCGAATCACTTACAACTTCAACAACCATTTTCCTCAATAGAAGATTTCTTTTTAGTTATTCTCAATTATCCCTTATACCCTGGGTCGACTTTTCGGTCGGTAGCCGGTATAGCCACAGTATCACCTGGCCGAATTTTCCAAATATCAATGATGAGCAAATTACTCCACGACGCGACGTTTCGATTGTTAGTATCCACAACCGTCTTCGGGTTAAAAAGCAGATATATGATCCTCAGCAGAAGCTTGATGTTACTTATTATTATTATTACTGTTCTTTTTCAACGTAACAGTGGGGCTGAAAAATTCTTACAACTTTTTCGATACCATTTCTATAGTACGATTTGTCTTTAGCCTCAAAATAGGCCTCAGTTTCGACGATTACCTCTTCATTGGCGCTAAATTACTTTCCAGCGAAAATTCTATTGAGGTCTGAGAACAGAAAAAAGTTGCTGGGAACCAGCTCTGGAGAATACGGTGGATGCAAAATCAATTTAAAGGCCAATTCATCCATCCATTGGTTTGTGACACGGTGCATTGTTTTGATGAAACATCAGTGTTTTTTTCTTGGAATGGAGGCGATTTTTCGCGATTTCGTCCTTCAAATGCTCCAATAACGTTATGTGATAATAACTATTCATAATTTTTCCTTTTTCAAGATAGTCGATGAATATTATACCATGCGCATCCCAAAATACTGATTCCATAACATTTCTAGTCAACTTGCTAGGCGGCTGTTGCGTCTTAGCACGCTTTGGAGTTGGTTCACCACATATAGTTCACAAAGAAGGCGATCATTTTGATTCTAATTTGAGATGATGGCGCCATGTTTCATCCATTGTTATATATCGATGCATAAATTCGGATTTTTCACACTGGAACAGTTTCAAACACCGCTCAGAATCATAAATTCGTTGATGTTTTCGGTCGATTGTGAGCTCGCGCGGCACTCACTTTGAACAGAGCTTCCACCAGTGGCGTAACAGAGGGGCCCCCAGGACCCGCAATGCGGGAGGCCGAGAACCTGGGGGGGCGCGAACCGGTGAGCAGGAAACGTCAAGAGGAAACCGACGAGAATTGGGCCTGCGAGACTAGTGGCGGGTCTCATATTAAATTGTATCATTTAATTATATTATTAAAAATACGGCAGTAACGGTTTTTAACGTACTTTTTGTGTTGTAGAACCTTCTTCCACTTCATAGACAAAAGGGAAGGGAAGAGTTTGGAGCCAATTCTTGATTGGCGACGGTGGCGGATAACTTGGCGAGCGCGGCAGAATCGTGAAACATTCTGTTTCGGCAATTTGGTGAGAGTGGGCTAAGGATGACAAGCGTCTGCGTTGTTTCATCATCGGCCGGTTGGTCTGTAGATATTACAGTACTTTCTGTTCTGTTTCGTGATGTGTTGTGTAGTGAAGTAAATATTTCATTATTTCTCGCTTGTTCTTTGTAACAAAAACGTAAATCATGACGCCTTTTTAACCAAATTATGAACATTTAAGTGGTGCTCAGAAGAGAAAGTTGAAAGCCCAACAGAAACAATCGGAACCAAAGCTTAAAAAATTAAACACTTTTTTAAACCTAGTAGTGGCAGTGTACATAAATAAAATATTTTGATGCTCTACTGAATGTTTGTTATCCTATATCTTATTTTACCTCAAGATTCATCGTCACCAAAGGTATATATTTGTTATGTAGGTCAACAATTGAAATTCATAAATTGTAAATTTATACAAATTTACAAAAATGCTGTATTTTAGCCTGTGAGAGCAGTACGAAAATCTTCGAATCAAATCCACTTTGGGTGTACGAGTTAATTATAACCTTTTTTAAAAACTAACTAACCCAGTAAATCATTTTAAAAATGTGTTATGAACAAAACACCAAGCATCTTTTTGATATAAAACATTGAAACAATAAGGTATTTCAGTTTTAAAACTATTTATTTACATTCACTGATATTGATTACCATGGGACAATGAAATAATCAAAAACATTATAGAATAATTGTCAATAGAGCAATAAAATACTATTCCCATGATAATACAAATACAAAAGAGCGTTTTTGTTATAGTAGAGAGCCAATCACAGCCGCGAAGCTACCTGCTAGCCGCTGCTGTCAACCTTACGACATTTCAACTCTTAATTCCCTGTTATAGCAGTTGTTTAAAAATAACTAGTGGGGGGGGCCGAAAAAATCTGTTACGCCACTGGCTTCCACATACCCAAATATTCATGCACGATATCTTTAGAGCCTCAGCTATCTCGATCAACTTCATTTCGAGGTCGTTCAAAATTATTTTATGAACTTTTCTTATGTGTTCGCCTGCAACAGCCTCTTTGGGGCGCTCACTGCGTGCATCGTCCTCGTTGCTGATTCCACCTCGTTTAAACTTAGCAAACCACTTACCAATGATTGATTTTCCTGGTGCAAAGTCCGGATTACTTTTGTAAAGCCAAGCCTTGGCTTGGACGGTATTTTTTTCGCCACAAAGCAATGCTTCATCAACACACGAAATAATTTTTATCCATTTTCTCCAAATTAACAAAATTTGCTTCACTCAAAATGTTCTATCGCACAAACTAATAATCCGACAGCTGTGAAATTTGTACACGTGTCTCTTGAAGGTTAGGGTTAACTGAAAATTGTATGGATTCAATACTAGTAGCGTCATTTGTGCTTTCAGCCCACCTTATATATTTGTGATGAAAACTACCACACTATTTTGTTTTTTATAGGATGGCGAAAGAGGTTATCTAGAAGGCCTAGCTTCGAGGTACGCAGATCTGTTCAGAACACATTACGTTGACGTCCTTGGTCACCTTGAAGATTTAAGAAGAATGGAATGGGCTGAAATGTCTCCCAAGGATCGAACGGTAACAACTCCTACCACACCTCCCGGCACGTACAGTCCTACCGGACGAGGGACTCCAATTTCAATTGCGTTAACGACATCACATTCTCAACCACTCTACGTTCCTGGAAAATATTCGGTAAGTTTCAAGTACTCGAACTCTAACCATTTTTCTGAAGAAGTATAAAAAATCGAAGATCTACCTCAGTTTCCTTTTGAAAATAATTCTTCATATAGATAAGATGCTTCTCAAAAAATCTCAAAATAGATCAAGTTGATACCTTCATTATTATTATTCTTTATGGTAGAAAAATTAATTCTGAACATTCGATTCGATTCGATTCACCGTTTTGTTTCTTTCTCAATTTCTCATTTGAATATAGTTTACTGAGTATCTCTGTTAATTAGTTCTGAAATGTTTTATTCATAAAAAATGTATCTGGTTTATTATTCCAATCGCTGCTCATTTCAGTTAAAGTAAAGAATTAGTAGCAATACAAGACAAATTTAAACAGATTTTAAATGATTGCAGTTCATAATCTTGAAACCAAATACCACTCATCTTACAACTATCTGAAGAGAGTTTCGTAACTTCAGGTTAAAATTAACGACGATGATTTCGATTTATGATGGGTAGATATAAACACCTCGGCGCACCTTTTATTCGTTCTTGAACATGATATCACAAAAACTCGGATTAATTAGAATCCGAGGGTTCCATAAAACTGTAAGTTGCTCGTAAATATCAAGAACTATCGGAGTTAATCTACTGTTAATTACTAAATGGCACTTCATTCCTGTTAGATTTTCATATTACCATTACGAGTGCGCTATATAATACCGAAACCAAACGACGTTCATAAAATTATTTACTTTGTATGGTTGACGAGGTCTGGAAATGCTTTTAATGAATCTGTTAGGGCATAAAATGTTGTAAGTCGAAACCATTATGAATGTGAGAAAGAAGCATTTTTAATGGAATATTACACAGATATGAAATTGATTTTGTTCCTCGAAATACGGAGCTTACTGATGTTTAATGCACCAGAAAAAGACTAAATGATAGTATACTAGGAAATATCAATATTACAGAGGTATGCTGAACCAATATGGAGAGAGATTCAAGCGCTCAGGGTTTTTTGTAAAAGGAAGGCTTTTTCTCAAAGTATGAACATATTCAGGTGGATTTCGTTGTAGTGGTTTCGATTTTTGTATTGCTAAATAAAAAAAATTATCATAACACATAACCTATCAAAACCTACACGTTAAGAACAGCTGAACAAAATAATGATTCATCATTTATCCGTTATCCAGCTATCACTGTTACGAAAAAAACCTTATTAGTCGAAACTTGTGCAAACTGAGGATTAACAAGTTCCTATCTTTTAATGTGCGATTGATAGCACGGGTTGGATTACATGTAGAACAAATTGATCGATTGGCCACTGGGCTCGAGCCACCGTTCCTCATAGCGTACGTTTCCCACGTTATCCAACCGGCCACCGTCCCTTCGTCATAAAACAAAAAACTCTTCTTACATCATAAAATAATGTGATTTATATTCAAAAAAGAAAAATGACCGACAAGGATTAAGTGATTATAAATCCATCCAGCTATACTACCAACGGCTCGACAATCACGAGTGCGAATGTAGCGATGAAATTAAAAGTTAAGGACTCAATATTGAATACAAATTACGCTTACAATCACAAATTTTGCGTGCTACGTACATTCGATGAGGGTTTTTTTAAATTTTTTATATTGGTACACTCGTTTGGAACATATTTTCACATTTTCAGCTGTTTAGCATGTTTAGTTTGTTGGTGAGAGCCATAAAAGTAGAAAAAGTTTAGCGTTTTCGGCGATTTGCTGTTAACAAAAAAAATTTCGCCCTGGATGCCCCAGCATATCAACAAACGATGAATATGTTGAGAACGTGAAGAAAATTGTTATGGAGAATCGTCGAATCCGTATTAGAGAATTCGCTGAGGATTTCAGTATATCGGTTGGCTATTGCCATGCAATCTTTTGAAAATTTTGGGCATGAAGCATGTGATAGCGAAGTTCAATCCAAAAAAGGCTCAATTATGACCAGTAATTGTTGAATGTCATCAACGGCGATTCAGGTTTGCTTGAAAGGATCATAACTGGTGACGAATCATGAGTATATGGTTATCACATCGAAACCAAAGTCCAATAGTAGCAATGGAAGAGTCCTAGAGATCCAAGACCAAAAAAATACACCAAGTTCGATCAAATGTCAATGTATTTCCCACTGTTTTCTTCGATTACCGGTTCGTAGTACATCAGGCATTCTTGCCAAATGGTCGTACGGTCAATAAGGAGTATCACCTTGAAGTTATGCGCCGATATTGTAAAAAACCAAGTCCTGGCTTTTGCATCACGATAATGCACCAGCTTACTGCATATCAGAACTGCTTCGAGGAATGAAAAACATGCTGATATCAGTGTATTATATCTGAAGGAGACCACTTTGGAGAAGATTAAATTGATATAGAAATAGGAACCGATGAATGAATAGATATTTTTTGAGAAAAATGAAAATTCAACGTATTTTTTAAACAGAGTAGTACACTCACCAATACGTAAAGCTTATGGATTGTTGAGAAACTTCATTCGAACAGACATTTTCTCAGTCGAAACATAGAAGCCACTTCATGTGTTAGGTACTTCAATTTCATACATATTCAACCACTGCGATATCGTCTATGGCCCTTATCTCAATTAAATCACGTCATCAAGGATACAGAAGTGTTGAATGCATGTAAAAGATTTATTTTTGGCTCAAAATTCAGAGATCATGTATCTACTTTCATACATCAGATTGGTTGGCTAAAAATGTTTAGCATAATGAAACAACAACCTCAATAGCTTCTGAAGAAATTTACATACAGATGTGATATACACGATATTCTATCCCAATGCATAAATCCAAACAATTTGAGCGATCCTTTTCGTACCAGGCGTTACTGTCTATAATAATATCGAAGAAAATATAAAACAGTAATTTTCACAATAATCTTGTACGATTAAAATTTTTCATTTAGCTGTTTTGATTCGTCCAAAACAATATGATTTACTTGAGGGATTTTTTTACACTAAAATGTTTGATTTTTATCAAGCGAAGCATTTTTGGAAAATTGAATTGCTATCAATTGTTGAAATTTGAATTCAGATGAATTAAAAACATCTTCATAATGAGTGGTTTGATTTGTCCACTGAACAGAATGGAATATTGAGCCAAAAAATTTGAGTCTGCTCACCAGCTTTATTTTTATCACGAAACAAGTAGACTATTCGTCAAAAAGAATAGAAATATCTATTACAGCTTCAAAGTTTTTGGTTTTATAGGTGCTACCTCCAGCAAAAGATCCTTGTTAGATGATACAATTGAACAAAATCTGAAAGAATATGTTATATTTACTCCATCGAGTTTGATCCAGTGTCACATCAACAGCTGCTACAGAAACTGTCAAATTTTGGCATATCATCTAATATTCGGTTACTCCTATTATATTATATGTATCCGACCGACGTAGTTATGTTGAATGTGATGGTATAGAATCCTCCTGCTTTGTAGGGAGTTCAGGTGTCCCACAAGGGTCTAATCTTGGACCGTTATTATTCATACTATTTATAAATGGCATTGCCCATGATATCACTTCTCATAAATTGCTATTTGCAGATGACATGAAAGTATATCGTTAAATCCAAGATGAAGCAGACTGTTTCAAATTGCAGGAGGACATAAATTCTTTGACAACATTCATCATAAATTGTACTCAAACACAAATAAATGTAAAAAAATTACATTCACACGTAAAATATTACCGGTAACATTGAACAATGTACTAGATAGTGAAATTTTAATGAGAATCACGGAATTAAACGATCTGAGGGTTTTGTTTGATCAAAAACTCACGTTTTCCAATCTTTTTCAGAATGTATTATCAACTTCAATGATAAGGCTGCGTTTCTTGATACGCAACTGCAAGGATTTTGAGACCTCTCATTCTTTGAAAACAGTTTACTTAAAACACTGATCAGGAGTAAATTTTGAGTACTGCAGTGTCGTTTGGAATCCGTCCCACATAAAACATATATCTAGTTTGGAAAATTTTCCATTTTTTTTAAACATGCATATTTCAAACAACATGGTGCTTATTCCGAAAGGGGTTATAGCCTCCATTGCCTCAAATGCTATTCAGTGTACCGCGTATTTCATCTAGATTCTGTAGCACATTTCATATTCCGGTTTCCAATACACTGCATCATTTTCATTTTCTCCCATAACTACAATATCTAGAAGTGTTAATAATATTCCTAGTGTAGATATCTTTTTTCTAACGTTCAAACAATTCAAAAAAGAGATTCTTCGTTTCATTCAAAATTGATTTAACTATATATATAATTATCATATTTCTAATTGTATATACCTGTATATGGGCTTTTTGGCCTGCTGAATGCATTGAATAAATGAATCAATAAATAAATCACAAATTTCATTCACATGAATTAGACATGTACAAAACCATCCATAGTGAACGATGACATTGACAACTCAATAAAAAATTACTGATGGCATATACTTTGTAAAATATTCTCCATTCACCTGGCGGTCAATGATAAACACACAGATTTGAGTAATGATATTTTCAAAATACCTGCACCTATAGTACTTTCAGTGGCATTTGTTGCGAATTGGTTGAGAGTTTCAACTACTTTTCGCGATACTCCCACTTGTAGGATCATAATACTACCATGAGTAGAACTCAAAATACTTCAATCGCTTGACACGATATTTGGTTATAACGGAAATTCAAATAAAGGTTATACTTATTTCAGCAACAATTTGCACTTAGATCTGAAGTCTGAATAACTGAATAAACCAAAGTGGTTTCTCTGCATCCAATCCCATATCAGTTTAATTATCGTAAAGAAATAAACGCATACATTGACTAAAAGTCAAATCTGCCTGTTCTTGGAAATGTTGAATAGTGTAAGTTTTTAAGCTTTGATGGAAGCTTCGAAATATCAACTAAAAATAACTGGTTCGAGTATGAAACTTTGTTATATGATTTTATACTCAGTACTGTGGGATAAAAAATCACAAATTCAGTGACACTCGTATCAAAGTCGTTCTCAACTCTTTGCGATACCATTACCCTGTCAAACAAATTCAGAAACTTTTCTTTAAGTAAGTCTGAAATAAACTGACCTTCAACCGGAGGAAGCATGATTGAAAAAAAATATTAAAGCTCTTAAAACACAATTTCATCGTTGGTTTTCCATTTTTATGCTGCCAGTTAGAACTCCCCCTCGTTTATTTACGTACCCAGTTTGCTGAATCTTTCGGAAACGCGAAGCTTCCGATAAATTTTTCTTCTGTGGCACGCTTCATATTTCAGCGAGCAACTTGCGTCAGCAAAACAATTTAATTTCTCTCTTCTTGTTACAGCCGTCGAGCCGTCTGAGTGATAACGAGAAAGATGAAATATAAGTCGAATGAGTGGATAAGAAAGGAAAAGAATAATTAATATTAATAGTCGGTATAATAGCTTATACGCGATTAGAGTTAATAACGTTTTTCAATAAATGTGCGAAATTATTATTTGACATTTAATTCTTATTGAGATTGACCCAACTTGAAAGATTTTGCACGAATCAAATTTTTTAACGCGTATTTTACTGGGATCTTTAATTCACGAACCACCTAATATCAGTGTATTCCAAAATATAAATGATCTTTAAAATTGAATTTTTTTTGGCATTCTCAAGCTGCGTCACTTGAGTTTGTTGTACTCAGAATCTCTATAAATTGAATGATGAAATTTAATAGTTTTTTTTCTCTTCATCTAGAGTGTTGTAAGTCAAGAGTTTTTGGTGAAACATTTGACATGGGTTTGCTAGGATAGCTTATGTTTTAAAAATCCCTGTAGGTCAAATGTAGAAATTCTGATGTTGCCACAAGATGGTGACAATATTTCTATTTATTTCAGTCATCAATTAATCCTTGAAACCTAATCAAAAATTAAAAAAACATTTGACTTACAAGTCACTATGTACGTATCAGTTATATAAATTGAAACATCTGCCACAGTTATAATTACAAATTTCGAACACACTCTCATCAGGAGACTTTACATATATGAATTAATAAATAGTTGCTGGTAGCGACTTATACAATGCATTTCTTTAATGCCCCCCCCTTTTTATTTTTTGAACGAGTCAACTCAAAACAATTTGGAATAATTAAATTAAGACATGAATACTTCATTTTGAAGTGAAATTGACAGATGAGACTTTCAACTGGGCGCCATCTGGGAAAAATAATTAATGGAAAGGAGGATCTTGTGACACATTTTTTTGAAGCTCCTAACAAACGCTTCACAACCCTAGAATATAATGTCAGTATCTTCAACTACTACAAAATGGCTTTTAATAATTGCCTGAATACATTAACATTTAACTACCATAATATGAGGTAATAAGCATTTTCGAACACAGTAACGTCAATATCTCTACAAACATTTATTATTCTATGAAGCAGGTTCAGTTTCGTACACGTTTTGCTTCAAAAAGCCCCATAAAAAAAAACCCCAAAGGTGTCAAATCTGGGGAGCGGGCTGGCCTTTCTGTAGGATTTCGACGGCCAATCCAACGACCGGGAAAAGTAGTATCCAAATAGTTTCTTACTTGTCTGGAGTAATGTGGTAGTGCTCCATCTTATTGGAATACAATATCCATATTGAATTGATTAGGATTCAGTTCGACGATTTCAGTGATGAGAGGGTCAACAGTAATCTCCATCATATTCAAATACACTTCCCCTGTTGAATTTTGATCAATAAATAGAGGTCCTACAATATGGTTTCCCAATATTCTTGCCCAAACGTTAATTTTTTCTGGATATTGGGTATGTATTTCCCAGAAATCGTGAGGGTTGGTATCACTCCAATAACGTCAATTTTTTGTCTGTGAACATTGACGTTTGAAAAACATGTACATTCATCACTTGCCTTGCAATGGTTTCCGTCATGATTTCGCAGAATTCTGTTCTTCGATCAGGGTCATCTTCAGTTAATTGGTGTACCATTTTAATTTTGTATGGATGATACCTATTTCTCTTCGAAAGTGTCCACACAGTAGAAGGAGAAACCTCACAAACATTCGCGACGAAATAAGTAGACTGTTCAGGATTTACTACCATCTCACCAATTATTTGCACTTGCTGTTCTTTCTGAATGGATGGACGATCTAGTAGCTTTTTGTTATGTACACTACCGGTAGTTGTGAATTTGAATACAAGTTCCATCAAATATTCTCTACAAATAGGACGATATTTCTATAAATATCTATAATGATGTGTTTGTCTTTAGGAAATTATTGAATGTTCCGCCATTTTGTGGTAGTTGAAGATATTGACATTATATTCTAGGGTAATGAAGCATTTGTCAGGAGCTTCAAAAAGATATGTCACAAGGCCCCCCTTTCCTTTCAATTTTTTTTCCAGATGGCGCCCAGTCGCCATCTTGAAAGTTTCATCTGTCAATTTCACTGCAAAATAAAGTATTCATGCATTAATTCCATTATCCCAAATTTCAATGTTTTGAGTTGACCCGTTCAAAAAATAAGGGGGGGGCACATTAAAGAAATGCACTGTATGGACACTTCATAGCATGACAAGATTACAGACAATTCCAAAAACTGGCAAAGCCATTTTTCTACAATTCACAGTGATTTTTCTCAATAAAAATCAACCGCCCTCATCTCTCTCTTCTTTTTTCTTTCTCTATCTCTATATCTATCCCGGGGTATATCAATTCAATTCCCATGCGGGTATGAATGCAAAATATTTTTTAGTTTCGTATGCTATAAAAGCGTGTTTTTTAGTTTTTTCAAACTATATCATTTTATCTATTATTCCGATTCCGGAGAGGGAGCCTGAAAATCAGCTACCAAGCCTAAGGAAGGCAGCAGGCGCGCGTGTTAATAAAAAAAGTACTTTTTTCAAATGAAAAAATACATGTAAAGTGAGTTCGAATTATATAAAGGAAGTTACGTTCAGCGCCATCTGCCCGCCAATAGATCAAGCAATAATCTTGATATATCAAGAAGGTTACGTATAGCGCCATCTGCCCGCGAATAGATCAAGAAATAATGTCGATAATTCTGTCAAATACAGATCCCGAGCTTGAGAGTTACAAACAAAAAAACATACATACATACAGAAGAAGCTAATATATAGCGTTTAAAATACTTTCTATGACCAACAAATGTTGAATTTATGGTTAGATGTTCTCTTATAATTTACTTCATTTGAAACATGTCATCTTTCAAAGAGGAATATGTTTCAGTCTTTCACATTTTCAATATGGTTACTTCGTCAAATTCCAAAAAAAAAACTACCTCTCTCTGAAAATCATTCTAATAACTATCAAGTCATCCCTGCTCACTGCCGACTGATGCCTTTCTCTCAATAAATTATCCTTCGGAAGCACATTTCATAATTTCGACGAGCTTACGCCCGCACAACGGTTTAATGCTTTTCTTCTTGTTACAGCCGTCGAGTTGTTTGAGTGATAAAGAAGAAGACGAAATATACGGCTTCGGATACGGAGTATTTGCCGCACAAATTGCCAGGCAGCAGCAGCAGAGGTTAATGGGACAGCAACCGACGAGCCATCAGCCTCTTCTTCTGCAACAACATCACAATTATCAGACGTGAGTTCACTGTTTTTGATGTTTTATTTAATTGTGTCTTTCTTGTAGGTGAAATACTGATTGCAATTCTTATAGAAACACTGATGATGAATTGTTTATAAGTTGTTATTGAATGAAATATAGAGTGTGATTAGTAAGAAAGAGTCTGCGTCATGTGGAAAGTATTTCAATAATACCTTCATACAAAACATACCATTATTCAAAAATGGACATATTCAAATAACTTTAGTCT